TGTCCACAATTGATTATCATCCCGATTACTACTACTAAACTTAATGTCCCTTTGTCACATAATTATTTAATGGAGCTTTTATATATGTAATATTATATTGTAGGTTTTTTCATTTGGCGCTCATACTTAACAATTCTGGGCATTGAGCACATGCCCAGCATGCAAACAACTTTATTAACAAAGAGTCATTAAATTTTACCTTTCAGTGTTGATTTCGTGAATGATATTTTTTTGGTGCACGAAATGCTCTTGTATATTACCTGTGAAATTTAAATTTATTTGTATTTCTTTTATGTTTGTATTCTACATTTTTCAACATGGTACGGAATTTCTCTTTAAGTAAAATACAATATTTACTATCCATAACGTCTATTGCCAAATTTTGAATGTGTTCGGGCACCAGAATTTTAGTAGTATTATAAAGGTGGAGTCTCCTGTTCGGATTTAGACAAAATTTTGTTATTTTTTTACCATAAGCTTGATGATCCTAAGTAGTTCAGTTTAACGAAACAGCATTTTTGTGGGACTTACTTACTTTGTGTCGTAATTTTCTTACTCACTGAAAAGTTAAACTATCCAAACATATAAACATACCACGAAAGTACAAGGTACACCTACACAAGGTACACGAGGTACACTCGCGTTCCGGGGCGGTTCTCACCGCTCCCAGCCACCGATTAGCTAATTGCACAGTCAACGGCCATCGGGGTTTCGGTCCGAAACGCGACTTCGATGACCTATATGATGATGATACACCATACTTAAACGCACGCATGAGCACATGCGTGGTCCTACCCACAGCTGAGGGCCCAAACCCGTGGGTTCTGGCTAGCCCACCGGTTCTGCGTCAGATGAAGCTTTAATAGTCTCGGGACTGAAAGCAAAACCATCATTTAATACAAGTTACAAGATACCACGAAAGCTATTTAAAAATACATGGTGTATTCGTAATAGCTGATTCTATCTGATGTAACATCTGTTAAAAGTCGTGCCTTTTTTTGTGAGAAGGTGGCAAGCGAGCTAGCGGTTTAGTGATATTTGCATTAATAATTTCACCTTAAGTGATATTTGCAATACGCTTTCGCCAGGTCCAAAGTAACCGTCTTAGTTTCAACCGCCTCAGTCCATCGATGAGTTAGGTAGACCAAAACGTCACTAGCTGAACGACTCCGACGGAAACCATAGGGACATATTTGGACTTCATTACATTTGAGAAAAAACAGGTGATGCTAATCGGCCTGTAGTTGGACGGATCTGAGCGTTTGCGGTGTTCCAAAGCCCTATTCTTTCGTTTCTCCAAACCTCACAATTATTTAATTTACCATAGATAAAACATCACGATATCGATTTTAAACTGCTCGGTGCTATTTATTGGATTTTGCGAGAAATGAGATTTTAGTACATTCAGCAGCTATAATTGTTACTGCATTTTAAAAGATGCTCTTTAAGAGATCTCTTATATATCTTTAAAAGATAGCATGAGAAACACACGATCGTATTAAACTTATTTTTATCTATTTTTTAAAAGTTTTATTGATCTATCGGGAAACAGTATTTATCGGGATGAAACCCAAATGTAACCTCAAGGTTACAATAAATACAAAACAAATTTCATCGTGATAGGAAGTGTAGGCAAAGCGTGAAAAGGTTACAAACAAACAATACCACATTCACATTCATAATGTTTATATAAAATAACGGTACCCTTTGGTAAGGCGTGTCAAAGTATAACATAGCATATCTTTTTCTACCCACAGCCGATTTTACCGAGTAACCCGATAAAATTAAACCCATGTCTGCCTAATGGATGGAAAAGAATTGACGTGACAGCGCAATAAGTATGGAACACTGCTTATAACGCTGCCAAACCCTTTCAGCCCGAATAACTTTCACTCAGTATCCAGGGAGCGATAATACGAAAAGTTAAATTCAAGGAGAAAATGCAATGCATTTTCAACGGATTTTTTGTAGGCTAAGCACATTTTGATTTAGTTTTACCTGCGGCTTCTCCCGCTTGGTCAAGGAAAGTGTCAATTAGTTGTATATCATTATTAATACTTAATTATTATTATTATTATTATTATTAAATTCATGAGCATGAAATCATTCATAAAATCATCTCCGAAGATACACCGATCTGGACACAAATCAGAGGACTCTACATTATTCACAAAATAGAGTTTATCTCATTAAACTTTGGTAAATCATGGTTGATTCCTACAATATTGACTGATCTTCCATTCCAGTTCAAAAACTCGACGTAGTATGACGATGCTGCAGTTTCAGTAGAAATCGTGCACGGGGTGTAAGGCTGTGACCATAGAGTATTTCAAAGAAGGTTTTTTGTATGGAGTGTGAGGTGCTCTGTTCTGTGTACATGACTGTCTATTGACGAAAACTCCGAGTAACCCGCTACCTCACCCAATATACCAGCATTTATTTTATTAACAACGTAATTTTTCGCTGCGAGAACAGCTCTTTGACAGCCAATGATTTTCACGTATATTATAAATGTAAATGATGTATATTATGTGTATTATGTATATTATGTATATTATGTATATTATGTGTATTATGTGTATTATGTGTATTATGTATATTATGTATATTCGGAAAGTCCGAGTAAACACTCGTAATTAACTGAAAGTTATTCCACACATACACATCGTTCGTACAAAAATCATCCGGTAGCAATACATGGTCATCGACATCAGATTTCAAACACCCATCTCCAATTTTTAACTGTGTGTCAGCAAAAATTCCTGTATTAATATCGTTGTACAAATACACTCTTATATTTGTTGTAAAGCAGTATTTGGTTATCATTCCCAAAGAGTTGATAACTTGAGGTATAACTTAGTTTCGTGTGTAGATAAAGAAATACATAATTTTTATTCAAATCTGACATTCTTTAATAAATTCGAATTTACATGAAGATATCACAGTATCAAGGTTCATGGAAGTAAAAAAAATAAGGAGCTTAATATTTTAACGCTAATGTTTTAACGTTTAATAATGAAAGGCAAATGAGAAATAAAAATGATTACATAATATTTAATTATGTAAAAATTTTATATTGTGAAAATTTTGCAAAATACATTTTTTAATATAATATGTATTATTTGTCTTTAACCCAAAGCGCCACACTCATTCTTAGTTTCGAAATCTGGCGCAGTTCTAGTTTTATTTAGGTAACTTTTGTTTGTTTTGTTTATACAGCAAAACCACGCGTCCTTCGTAAATTAAGGAATTTTAGCTTATGTTAACTATTTGTATAATGTTTTGTAGGTTGTACTACTGTGTTGATTATTTTATGTTTTTTGATGGTTACTGTATACATATAATTCTTTTACTAAGGACACCTGTAACTTTAATATTTTTTGAAAAACCTTAACTTAAAGTTAGATACTCTAGTAAAATAAGTTAGAACGTTTAGAACTTTGATCAGAATTTTAGTATATAAATTCTTATAATTTTGAGATAGCAGTGATTTTTTTTATAATACTTTAATTAATTCGGAGTTGATGGTTAACATAAATATTAACATTGCTATGTATGGTTAGTTTAAAGTAATATTTATTGCTGAATCCATACTTTGCATATAAAATTCATATATTTTTTATTGAGGATTGGTAATGTTCAGATAATTTTATTAGAAAACATAAAATAAATAACTATGATAGTAGCTTAGTTAAAGTACAAGATTATGTTATCGCCGTTTTAAATTTATTGGTTCATAAAGTTTAAATGATGCTGTCAGTATACATTACCAACAAGTACTCAATTAGCTTTGACAACGGCAGAAATGGATAGTTTATGTAATTAGACTTGGTGTATGATGAACATTTAAAAGTAAGCTTATATATTAGAAGATTGGTAATTTTATTTCATAGTTATTTATTTATTAAGGAAATAAAAACCTTGTCACGCCTTTCAAACCTAACAGGGTAAGGAGGACATGCTTATTATAATTTATTAGTTTAAATTACGTTAGGCAATTACTGTCACCCATGGACATCGTCATTGGTCTAGAAGAGGCATTGCCAAACTTTAAAAGAGTTTTTTAAAGAGTGAGAGTAAAATTTTTAGTTAAATATTAAGTGATTAGAAAATAATCTTTCCTACTTTTCCCGTACTTCGCGGCCGGCTGTAATGCGACATGCGATAGATGGACGAAAAAAAATTGAGGCTATCGAAAAAATTGGTTTCACTTTAAAAATAAAAAGAAAAAATAATTTAATTAACAAACTTCAATGACTCTTTAGTAACATGCCTATACATGTCCCACTGCTGGGCAAAGGCCTCCTCTATACAGAGGGTATCAGGGCATAGTCCACCACGCGGCCCCACTGCGGATTGGCGGACTTCACATATCTTCGAAATATATTTTTTTTGTTATAATTTCGAAAATATGCAGGTTTCCTCAAGATGTTTTCCTTCACCGCGGAGCACGTGATAAGTCAGCACTTAAAGTTAAAAACTTCATTGGTGCCGGCACCGGGTATCGAACTCAGGTTGCTCGAGTATATTGAATTAAAGGCGAGCGCCCGGACACTGAGCTGTCACGGCTCGCAATGACTCTTTATTGGGTTGATTATAGGAAGAAAGAGAAGTGTAGTATTAAACATTATTACGTACGTCGTATATAAAAAAGAAAATAAAGTGAGAATAGTTGCCTTAAAAAACCAAAAAAAGTTGTAATTTTTGTGATCATTTATTGAAGAAGAAAGAAAACAATTAATCCAATGTAACCATATAATTATAGTGGAACTTTTGAAACAATTTAATTTATGAATGCAGATTTTACTCACTAACATGAATGTTAAGGATATTGATGCAAAACACTTTGTTTTTTTTATTTATTTATACACGGTTATACTACGAATAGTAAATTTATCGAAACTTTTACGTGCGAGTGAAAGCGATTGCACTAACAATATGAAAATCAATTCATAAGAAACTTCCTCAGTAATGCGTGGAATTTACTTAATTTATATTTAACAGCCCCACATAACTCTGCATTGTGACCTGTCCGGATATTTCTTCTTCAGTTTTTCAATTATATTCAAGTACTTTTGATTGTTTAATCGCTCTGCGTTGCCGTGATGGATTATATTCTTTGTGATAGCAGCATGACAGAGAAATCCACCATCTAAGACCACCATGCGGTACTCTTGAAGACATAATTCCAGCATCTATTCAAATAATTGAAGCAAATTTAATAATTATATGATATATTTTATTACAACTATATTTACATATTTATTATTGAAGTCCCGAACTTTTAGCATCAAAAGTCATCGTCATGACTGTAGCTTTACCTAGTATTTGATGAACTTAGAATATTTGTTTTGATGACCAGGATTAATCTGACAACATTGTTCATTAAGGTTATGAAAATGCGGCGTACGGATAGCCTTTATATTTAAAAAATTAAGTGTGAATATGTACTTTATTATTTATAGCCACTTTCAAAGTCATTTATCATTCTGGTATTTTCGCATTTGGTAAACTTTAAGAACACGCACCTGTGTCATTTTATCTTGCCTTCCTTCCCAGGAAAGCGTTTCGCTGTACCACGGTTCCCTTTGAGTGCCAAAGTAAAGAGGTTCCCATCTATGGTAAGGATATTCCCGCCGGGCTATCAGCATAGGCTGTAAAAGGGTTGTATCTTTAAACTAGTAATGGAATAAATACTTTTATTAGGGTCATTTAGTCATTTATATTATAAATATACAAGCTGATAAAATTTTACCCATAATATGACTATTACCGCTAACATTTTATTTTAATAAAAACAACTCGTTTGAACTCTGGTTGATTCATCGACCAATACAAAACAAGCGACTCTTTTTATCTCTGTGTGTGTATTTACTATACTAGTTTGATTTATATCATAGTTTTTATTAGTAGAAGTGTTACACTTCTGCGTTTCGTCTGGTGAGTGAGGTAGCCGGGGCCCACTTCATTAAGAAGTGGCAACGCATCAGCAACCCTACGGGTGTTGCAAATATCCATGGGCAGGCGGTAATAACTTAACATCAGGTGAACCGCCAGCTCGTTTGCCACTTTCGCACATAAAAAAAGAGAATAACTTATTTACTGTACACTTACTGATGATTTACTACTAGAAGTAGTGCACGTCAGCGGATACGCTCATTTTGGTGCTAAGTGTATCCCATCCTAGTCTTTAGTTATTTTGATGAAGCGTTAGGATATTTTCTTTTTAATCACCTCTTAACCGTAGCTGAGCTTTCAGTAAGTGATATTAAATATTTTGTGTTAAAGAGCATATAGATAGTTTGGGATAAGGGTAGGAGAAAGAAAGGAAATTAATATATTGTACGTACTTCTACAGCATTCGGTGACGGTCGCAGTAACCATGACTGGAGCCCAGGAAAGCGCTGACAATGCGAACAAACTTTTTGGTGAAAATAAAATGCTCTGTTGGCAGCCACTAAACGAACTAACCTGCCAATATAGAAAAGGTTAGTAAGTGAATTTATTGGCAAACTTTCTAACATTAACAGTAAAACACAAAAACTGTTTTAATGATTTTATATCGTCTGATTTGTCTTGTAATTCCAGACCTTTCAACATCGTTCACAAGTCCTAATATTGTCAACCTTTATAATAGAGCTACTGATGACTTTAGTACGATCTACACCAACAGTGTAAAGTTTAAGAAGCGAAAGAAGAATTGAATAAATTTAAAAACGAATTAAATCCAAGAAATCATGAGAATTCAAAGTCATGAGAATTCAAGGTCAGAAAATGGATACAAAACTGTAATATAGCAAAAAATATACTAACGTCGTAAATTGGAACTGTGGATTCTTGACTGGTTGCGCACGAGGAAAGCTTTTGGAAGACTGAAGGGAGACTGTCTAGTCTTTTAGAGGCGTTTTGGCTATAATCAATCCAACAGGTTTCCAGCACACGCTTAAAGATGCCAAGCATTTCGTTTTCTATAAGATGCATGTCAGAGCAATGGACAGAAGTTACGTGATTTAATTCCAACCATCCCCTTCGATCATTGAAAGACTAGACGCTCTATTGGAATCCATCCTTTTGTTATAGAGATGATTCGCTTTCAAACGAGAGGTTTGCTTCGTAAAGCGTACAACAAAAAAGTTGAATATAGAGAGTAGCCCATTTTTCTCATTGATTGTAAAGGAAAAGCAATAATGAAAAGGTAGAAGTTCCGTGACCATCTACTGTTTACCGTCAAGTACTATCCGAATTCAGTTCTGTTATTCAAATATAAAAAAAATCTAAATGTATAAAAATATAAATGTAGAGCCATTTCATATGCTAATGAAATAAACAAAATTAAGATAATTATTTCCCCTATGGTCGAAAAGTTTACTAATTTATACAAATATTTTTAGTGGATAGACAAACGCACAATTAAAATAAATGCAGTTCGTTATATATATAACACTTAAAAAATGTTCAATATAATAATTATGTGTATAAAAATTCAGTTTTAATCAAACTGTGACTGATTAGGTTCGTTGGCTGCACTTCTTTAATATCAATTTATAAGGAGTCATCATCAAGATCATTCGTAGGTATAGCTCTTTCTGTGATTGTGGTCTTGAAGAAGGTCTTTTACGGTGGTAGGGCCACGCAGCAGCCTCGGCTGTTGTACAAAGGGGCAGGCCCGTCCGGGTAAGTACCACGACCTCACAGAAGACCAGCGTAAAGTGGAAGTATGACAAATACTTTCACGTTTCGTCTGGTGAGTGAGGTATCCGGAGCCCAATTTTGAAAAGGTTGTCAACGCATCTGTAACCCTCGGGTGTAGCAAATGTCCATGGGCGGCGGTATTCACTTACCATCAGGTGAACCGTCAGCACCTTTGGCAATTTTTCACATAAAAAAAAAAACATTCTATTAATTACATGTTTTCCTATATGATCATATTCTTCACTACATTTCGCGGCCTTTAAATGTTCCTTATTTAATGATTGTGGTTTTCACTCCGTCACATCGTTTAAATATCTTGTTTGATTTTAAGTTCAATTATTGGCAAGTTCAATTGAGAACTAATGTTGGCGATGGGAAATTAAAAAATTTGATGTAGATTATTTATTGTAAAACAAGAATTTGTTTTTTTTTTTCACTTAATGCATAAGTATGCATGCATTACATGGCATTGGTAGAATTCTATTAAAACAGGCCATTAATCAAAGAAGAAGATCATTTGTATCAAGGAGAGCGGTTCTATTTTTGAAAGTGATTGATAAATTTTGGAGTAGCAACTGTTGAATAATTCAGCAACTCAGGCCTTGGCGTTGTCGTCCCACCTCGTGAGGCATCTTGACATATGTTTCTTTGGTGTAGCAGAATTCGAACCTGTATTTTTCGGGTAACATGCCCAGATGCTTTGCACAACTAAGCTTAGCGGCCGGGGACATCAAAGCGCTAAAATCTCGAAATCTATCCAAGTAATTTCCTTATACATTTTTAGATTTAGCTGACGTCGCCTTGCAGGACTCTTTGGTATTTAAAAGGTGCACCTATTTTTTTATTATGATAGTTTAATCCTTGGTAAGTACGAAAAACCAATGTACTTTATTGGCATGGCCGCAGTATTTCAATGATGTAGTGACTCATGAATATTTTCTGCGTTGGCGCTGTTGAAGTTTTTGTTTTAAACATGAGAAAGTTTTGGTAATAAGTAGTATCACTGTATCCTATAAACTGAGTAGAAACGTAAGGTAAGATGTAAAAACGTGAGTCACCTTTTAAAATATAATATTAATTTTACGCAAAGTAAAAATTGATATTTAAGTAATAATTAGTAATTTTAAGTTTGTGGCCATGGTCTAATAATTATCCATAAAACTAGTAGTTAGTTTCTGTAAGATGGCTTTTATCATACTAGTAATATAGTTAGTTTTTGTATGGGAAAAAATCTGATATATCGGGTAAACATTTGTTAAATTCAGATTTTTCTCCAGACATTTAAAACAAAATCTTCATATATTTGAGCATATCGATTAGCTTAACACATTTGTGAACTGTAATACAAATATTTAGTTTTATCAGAAACATTAAAAGGAATAAGGATTTTTATCCTAAACTTACGTCTGTTTGTCTCGTGGTATCTCTTCCCCTTTTTCTACTTCAAACAATGGAACGACGAAAATGGTTTTAGCAAATATGCAACCCTCATCTCGCTTCTTATCACCCATGAGTTTTCTCATCATTTTTAGAAATTTTTGGGCAAGACCGTCGCTGGGTACCATTTCTATGTCAGATACTATAAAATAGTTTGTAGTAGATGCATTCCTTGCGGTATTTCTCCCAACATTGATCGGATAAATGATATTATTCTCACGTCTGAAAGTTGCTATATCAAAGTTATCTAAACCAGAACAGTCATTAAATATTAGATTTGGTACAGAACTTCTTTTTTGTGACATTCGCTTCATCATTCGTGCTATTTTACTTTTCCGTACCCACTGTATGTATTCTGCTCTCGTTTTATTATCTAACTTTTTGTAGTTCTCGACTTTCTTTTGCAGCAATTGTGCGTATGTAATATTAGCGGTAGTTGTAGGTATTTCGGTTGTCAAAGAAGCCAAAACTTGTGTTTCACTTCTTATCTTCGGCGGATAATGTTTGTGATAAAACAAATGAAGCGATACTTTACTCATGCCTGAATAGCATTTACAAAGATAGGAAAATATTTGCATCGTTATATCTAGATCATAGTTGGGCACAAATACTGAAAGACTGATCGGCCCATCCCAAAACCTGGCGATTTCAACAACATGATAGATAAATTCTGGTGTCGCTTGCGTAACATAAGTCACTGCATTATATTTGCTGCTATTTGCATATGCAGTACCTTTAATAGCATTGTAAATAACCTTGTAGGGGCCTTTCATACCTAATTCTGGTGAAGGGTATACTTTTAAAGCATCCCATTTCAGAACTTTTGGCAATCCGTACTGAAAATGACAGTAGCTTAAGCTCTCGTTAGGCTTCACATTCTTCAAAAAAGAACCTGGTTTGTATTCAAAGTCACCTACTCGTAAGGAGGAGCGTTGATGACCTCTTTGTTTGTATGAATATAAATGAAATATGGTTATAAGTAAAACCACAAGTCCTATTATAAGTAGAATTGTGGAATGTTTTCGAGTTAAACGATACGAGTATGCTCCGAATATTCGCAAGCATCTCGTCATTTCCAATTTTCATTTTAACTTCTAGCTTCTCAAAATAGTCCCAATACAATGCACATGCAATTTTCTATTAACGCATGCCGTAGGTGAAATATTGAACAAAAGAAGGCCATTTCATTAACTTTCGTTACTTACGATAATGAATGTTACACTTCACAGTTTGTACTGAATTAATGTCATGTCTTAATAACCTACTTTTCACTTAACCTAAGTCAAATTTGAAACACTGTGTTGTTTTCACGTTAACAAAAATTAAATAGTCACCGATTTACACTGATGTTGTAACACAATGTTACATAATTTCGTTTCTTGATTTGCATTATTAAATTGTTTCAAAATAACGACTTAAACAACAGTTATCACGGATAATATTTACTTTTTGACTCGACAGATTTCCGATTTGACAGTTATTGCGCGCGCTGCCGGGCGGCGCAAGGCACAACTAAATAATCAATACGAACGCTACAGCGGGAAAACTCAGCCATGCAGATTTGCAATCCATCGTCTTCAATAACATGGTCCACATTAAACATTCACATCAACATTTTTTCTTGTCGAAAAATGAAAAACAAATTGTTATAGTTGTTATGCATCAATTACTAAGTTCAAAGAGATTAAAATATTTACTGTTTCTTGTCACTACGTACTTGAAAATTTTATGTATGTCCATATAAATAAGAATGAATTTTCATGACATGCGAACGTGCATGATATAAATACTAGGAACAAGCATAAATTAATTCTACCCACAACTAGACTGCGTAGAATAAGTAATTCTTTTATGGGATAATACACCCTGGAAATGAATTGATCGCTCTAGGCTTATTCAAGTGGACTTCAATACATTTGTAAACATTTTTATTGTCAAATAATGGTTAAAAAAATGTCCCGCCGAGTTTCTTTCGCCGGTTCTTCTTAGGTTAGTGGTTTCGAGCCGCGGTGGTAGCCGAGTTTGACAATCAATAAGTTAGTGTAATGCTTGTATATTGAATAAAGTTATTTGAATTGAATGCATTTTGGTTTTAGAAAAAAGTTGGTGATATTTAACAGTAAACAGATATTAGTAGGAATTATATATAGTAGGAATGTATAGTAGGAATCTATTTATATTCCAAATATGCATTAAATTAATTAAATAGAATAGAATAGAATTTCTCTAAGCCTTTATGTATCTTCGTCAAAAGAATCGCAAATGAGTACACGGTTCATTAGGTTTCTTTCAGTGAGCTCATGAGGCACCCAGATATCGAGCTTTTTTGTGTATCCCGCTTCTTTAAAATTTTGAGTTCAAATTCAAATATTGGTAAGTTTTCAGTTCTTGAGCTACATCGAAACTACTGATATTGCCGATCTTGCTACACTTTTTCAAAAATGGCATCCATTTTATTCGTAGAATAAAATGGATGCCATTTATTTTATTTGCCATTTTTCCATTTATTTTACCCAGAGCGAGGTGCATCTTTACACTCTTTTATCTGTACATCAAAATTTCCGGATTGAAAACGCTTTAACCAAAGTGCTACTCTCACAGACACTGCATAAATATCATAAATTTTTTTTGCGGCTTTCGTTACATTTTTACCTTTTCAGTAGTAAAATTTTAAAATGTATCGAATTTCTTTATTAGAATCACTCATCTTAACAGTCAGAAAAACAAATGAAAATTATTTCTTCGAAGATAATTTCACACATTTTCGTAATTTGAATTTGGAATTATCTTTTTGAAAATTTAATCTTTTTAATTATACCAAAACCAGCCATATTATAAGTACATACATACATACGAAAAGAGTTTTTCCCCAACCTAATATTAATACTAAATTTAAATATAACAATAACATACCTGTAATATTTAATGGATTATTATCAACTTAGTACTGCCATATATCTTTACTATATAAACAAATATATCACTGCCTACAATAGATCGCGGACAACAGTATTAATAAAAATTTAGTTAAATCGAACATTTTTGAGTAGGAGTAATGTAATTAATGATTAATAAATAGTATTATAGTTGAGTATTATAATACGGCTATATAACCTAAAAATTAAACTATAAAAATAAAGGCAAAAATGAAATTGTCGTGATGAGGATTCATGTAAATATAGCTTTCAATGAATTCAACGGCTAATGATGACGTCATAGTGCAGCAATTTACATGCAAATATTTTTTTATATCAATTATTATAAACATTGCAACATTGTAATATTTTTCATTAATAGAGCAAATTTATAGCAATTTTTTGAGCAAAAAATGGATATTTTATGTTCTATAGCAAAACAAAATTTTCGAAAATTATTTTTTTAAAAAATCAATGAATAATATAATAAAATAATAAACGTGGAGCAATTACGGATTCTAATGGAGCATTTCAAGAGCAATTAATTATTCATATCGTTTAATTTAAAAAAAAATTATTCTACGCTAACTTCCTTCCGGTTACCAAAATAACATTTTTTTACAATTTTTGTCTGACTGTCTGTCTGTTTGTTCCGGCTACTGGCAGACAGCTGATGTAATAAGGAGTAACTTAGGCCACCTTTATTTTAGATTTTTTTTTATTCATAATTCCGTACGTATAATTCCGATAAAATTGGAGTGTCTGTTTGTAATAACCTTTATTTTAAATTTTTTTTAATTAAAGTTCCAAAAGATCACAGTTTAAAGAATTATTTTCTCCTATTGTGCATTGGTGTCAAAACTTTAGGTTTTTAAATAAAAATAAAAATTTTGTCGAATTACGTTAATTCAAATTTCCAATCATCTTTGGTATATCCTAATTATTCACTTTACTGGGAAGAACTGTACGAAAAGTGCTTTGCATTACTGAGTGACAGACCACACGAATCTAATTTAAACTTTACTTCTGTCTTGATTTATAGTGGGTTTGTTATGGATTGAGCGATTAAAAAGTTTTTAAATTTCATTTACTTGGTTATTAACAAATTGAATATAACAAGAAAACATTGCAAATGTTAAATATTTTAAACATTTTAAAGGCTTAATGTGGATTGTACATTGCTTGTGGCCAGAACATACAATTTGCCATTGCTTGTGGCCATAACGTTTAATAACAACAGTTTGTGATTTAACCACAATTATATATTTAACAACTGTTATACATAATGTACAAACAGGTTCAAAGTATTTATATGCTATATTCAAGGCTGTATTTGAACAGAGTAAAAGAATTTATTTACTGTAATTTCAGTGTTTAATTCTATCTTCAACATTTCAATGGTAAATGAGGGATATTTCATACGTGTCCTACATTTTATTTTTTCTCAAACTCACGTTGGCACTTCCTCAGATTTCGAATAATTGATCAAAGAAATTTCTTCTTGCAAAAGACATATATTTCTCTGTACGGTATACACAATTTCTTTTGTATACCGTACAGAGAAATATATGTCTTTTGCAAGAAGAAATTTCTTTGAAGGTGACTTTTAAATCATAAAGAAATGAAAGAATCAGTGTTATGATTGTACAAATATGATAAAATTGATAATAAGTTTGTTGCATTACTCATAAAGAACTTTGAATTAGGTTATAAGGTAACGCGTTCGCCGTTTCAGTTTCGCGATTTCCTAACTTTGCTTTTGAGTTTGATGAGTAACCACTTCCCGTAGGCTACGTTACCACCGGAAGTTAATAATTTCAGACTTTTAACACGCTAGTCTCGTCAGAAGAGTTTTGGTAACAACAACAATCGACTTTTAGTTCTCCGCGGAAAAGCATGCGAAAAGACGTTGTGTTCGATATGTTCAAAAACAAAGTAAAATTTGTGAAACCGCTTTACAAAAAAACAAAACATATAGATAGAGACAAAATAATAGCAATAAATTTTGATCGTTCAATTGATCTACGTGGCCATGGCATATATCTTAATAGAAATGTTAATACGGAACGTGAGATAAATAATTATAGAAATTGTATATTAAATAACAAAAGTGAAGGTGCTTTGCTTCCCGGCGTGTGTGAACCTAATTTCAGTGATGTGCCTGGTTATAAATTTCAAGAAATAATCAAAAATGGCAACAATAAAAAGATTTCACAAAAGGATAAGTATCCTGTGATCGAAGTTGGAAATAAGAAAAAATATATTAAAATGCTAGAAAAGGCAAAAGATGACCAGATAGAATTAGAGAGTCTTAAAAATAGTATGCCACATGGAACGAATAGCAAACAAATAGTTTTGCATAAGGTGTGATATCTATGATATTAATATTGCGATTGTAAACGAATTTCTGTTATTTTTAACTTTAGTTCATCATATTTTTGCAAAAAGGTGTCGGATGCATGGCTAAGAGTGTACCCAGCACCAAGAAAACAAGGCGAGAGCCTATGCTCCATTGTTATCAGATGCGTATTTTGTCAACTGGGATTGGCAGCTATACTTGTCATCTGGAATATTATTTGGGTCTTTGTCATACATTCTTTCGAAGGTAACTTTCAACTCATAAATAATACGTATGTATCTATCAATTTTATAATCAATCAATCGTAATTATAATTGTTGCGCTGAATTCCTTCTATATTTGCTTCAATTGCTAGTTAATATTTGATATATTTACTGACTTTAGAATGATCTTCATAGGTTTATATAATCCTGCTATAACATAGAACCAAAATAAAACTAGAATCAGTTATAAAAAGCAACAAAAGCAGATGATTGCAATCGAACTAACGGTCAAATATTATTTAATAAGACCTGTGTAGGTGTTGTTCGACAATACAATGTGTATAAGATTATATTACAAACACATTTTATAAGAGACTTGGTAATTATTCGTGACATCAATATGAATAATTGAATAGGTTTTAATTTACTTTACTAGGACCACAGGAGGTACAGGTGTCAATAGATTTTGAGAGGGAACAAAATCAGCTTGTTATCGATCTAGCAACAGAATTAAGACAAGTAAGTAATTAAATATAACAAGACCGTATGTACTACGTGTCTTTTATTTAAGAACGTGGCAAACAAGCATGGTGTTTCGTCTGATGTTAAATGATAACCGTTACCCGTTGACATTTCCAACACCCGTAGGGTTGCAGATGCATTGCTTTATTAATAAAATGGGCTCCCGGCTATTTCACTCACCAGATGAAACGCAAAGCGTAACACCTCTATTTCCCGCCGGTCTTTTGTGAGGTCCTGACATATACACGAAAGGGCCTGGACGTTCGTGCAACAGAGAAGACTGTTGTGTAGTATCCCTACCACATCTACATCATAATAACTCCAAACAAAAGCTTATTATCATAAATTATTATTATATAAAATATTTTATCCTATTTCAACATGTAACGAAACAGTTACAAATATTCTTTCGTAATATTCAAAACGATGTTTATAATTTTTTATACAAGCCAAGTATATGTATGCCAATTAATACAAACTCGTAACTCGTTACTCGTAAGCTTAGTGGGAAAGTATATATGTCATAAATTTAAATTTTTATTGTCAAAGCGGTTTTTGTGCTTTTATTGATTACCGATAATACCAGCTGCCGTATTTTGTCTGTCCGTACTAGTGAGTTCAGATATCTATGTACATCATAATATAGGATAAAAGGATATATATCCCATTATACGACAAACACAAATAAAATGTATAATTTGAACTGAAATGTTTTTATTTCAGTACAGAATATTCATATAAAGCTATTTGAAAGACTAGACTAAATATTGCTTTTTGGTCAATCCTTCGTATTAAATATTGACATACAATATTTTTCACATTTGAAGTTATGGATCTATGTTATATTATATTCATATCTTTCGAATAATTTTTTTAAATCTCTTTTAAGAAAGGTCTGCGTGGTAGAAATTGCTATTTCAGCGATAAGGCTGCTTTTGTAAAACCATTTTTGTAACCTTTTGGTTGTTAATGTTCATTTTGTTATGATGTGTACAATAAAGTGTATAAATAAATGAATTTATATTTATACTATGTTAAAAGGTGTTCTTTGTATTCAGATTTTTAAATATCTTATTTCATAACCGAAATAATATCTGGTAGAAAATTGAAAAGGAAATGCGAGTTCTTACGAATTACATTGAATTTATTCATTTGAGTGAGCCGCTTTGGGAGTTGGTATAGGAAAAATATGCCTCGTACCAATTTGCACATCTCATGAAAATGAAATTTGAATATTCACCAGAGAATTTCCTATCTTTGGGGTCCCGCTTAGCGTCATCCGTTGAAATGAATACACTGAAAATTATTTTCGTACTTCGCTCTATAAACTTTTATTGGATTATCATAGGTACACCTATAATCGTAACGGAAATAACTATAAGAAATCCAGAACAAGATCATATTTGTTCAAAGAATATTGTGATAAAATTATGAATAATGTAGATATTTATTAGAGGATATTGATAAGTGTGTTTCTGTACTCTCGCTGACAGTGTCAGTACGATTAACTGGTTTGGCATTGAAAATAATCAATTATCTTGTACCACCGACGACATCTGTTATTGATCGAATCGCTAATATACCAGCTCCAATGGAATGTTTCAGTGATTATATAACGTTAGCATTATAGCAGCATAACGATATTTTGAAGACATTGCTTAGGAGTTATTAAAGGTTATTTAAAAATGTCATAAACGCGGTTGCTTAATAATAAATACTCGTATGGTATATTATAACGTACCTGCATCGTGTAGGATATATATAATTTTTGTTTTAATATTCGTAAATTATTTCGATGCCTCAGTGGCGTACTATATCTAAATTATTTTGCAAGTGTAATCATCACATTCCACAACCATTCCTTGCTATAACTGAAAGACGAAAAAAAATTCCTTTTCGATGATATTGATGTTGGACATAGCTGTGAGAGCTGTCCGCGAGTTCGCTTTTAATTCCATATACTCGAGCAACCTGAGTTTGATCCCCGGTACCGGCACCAATGAAATGAAATTGTTCATTTTAGCTGATTTATCGCATGTCCAGGGGCGAAGGAAAACATCGTGAGAAAACCTGCATATTTTCGAAATAATGACAAAAAATATTTCGATGACTCTACGATGAAGTCTACCAATCCACAGTGGGGCCGCGTGGTGAACCATGCTCTAAAACTCCTCTGTACAGAGGAGGCCTTTACCCAGCAATGAGACATATATAGGCTGTTACTTTACTTTACTTGTGCGTTTACATCCATCATTAATGAATAAAGCTTTGGACACGATAATCAATTCTCCTTTTGAAATTCTACCTCGCGTGATTGTAATTTCTCACTAATGGATTGTGACCTTCGACAAAATAATGACAATAATACACAAAGATTTTCGTATAAAGTCGATATATCGTTTTCAGATAACTCCCCTTTCTCCAAAATGGCGTGAGGCGATTGAAAAAAGAATAGAAGACGCGAGACAACTAACTATGCGAGCAGTTGGACAAGGAGCGAAATTAAAGCCAGGGCTATTCTGGGATCTGCCCGGGACATTTCTGTTTTCGGTATATGTTATGACAGCTTTAGGTAATTTTTAATCGATTTCACGACGTAAACGTAACGTAACTATAGTTTACTGTCTTAATTTTTTTTTGTTTTTTTTTTTTCTATAAAATCTTTCAATCTTATTTGCTATAAAACTTTTCGTAAAACAATCAAACTGATTGAAAAAATCAATTCGCTGATGTTTTTAATTTATTCGATGATACGACAAAAATAAATCAGAGTAAAACCGATTATGTTGTGAATTTAGCGCATTTGAGCATTAAAAAAGTCTAAACTTTCATACTTTGTTAGAGGATAGAACTATACTGTCGTTATTAAGATTAGGATCAGCAACTGTTTACTTCAAACTGGTTAATTGGCTGTCATCCCGCAACTCTTACGCAAGGCTCGGAGAGGTCGTCGTCTCGTTACAGGAAGATATAAAAAAGTAAGTCTGTTGTTGCACGAATGGGTAGGTCCGCCCGGGTTAGTAGAACTATATCACAGAATATACGGCTACCTCTCTCACCAGACGAAACGCGAAAGTATTCCACTTCACGGCTGTCTTCTGTGAGGTCGTTGTATGTACTTACCCGGACAAGCCTGCCCATTCGTGTAAGAGAAGAGCCGAGGCTGCTGTGTGGCCCTACCACAGAAAATTTGATGATTTTTTATTATTCTAAATATGTAATAATTTAATTTATTTTGCACCGTTATCACGCTACTTTATTACCTTTATCCTGGTACCCTACGATTACCTGGAAGAATTTGCTACATTAGCAATAAGGCCGCCTATATTCCCTTGTGGGCAATAACGTATATTCGATTGTATTCTATTCTAGAATTTACTGTTATTTCTATAGGTTTCGGTGCACCTGTGCCCCACACAACTTGGGGTAGGATGGCGGCCTTGGTATATTCGATTTTGGCTGTCCCTACACATATTTATCTAAGTACGTATGTATGAATAATGTTAACTCAACAAATTTAAACCAAGTTTTGGTATCATTTTAAAAATAATTAATATTTGTAGTGTGGAACGCAAGTGTATTTATAGTAGTTAATTTAGAACAATGTACGGAAAACTTGAAGAGAAAATGTTACGTCAAAATTTTGACACGTTTCGAACAAACTACTTTGGAAAATAGTAAAGGTATATCATATTATTATTACATGAATTCTGTTTCTTTTTAATAAATTTGTGGTATAGCAATACGGATATGTACATCTCACTAACCACCAAAGGTGTTTTAATTATTAGCGCATACAAAATATAAATTATCAATTAAAGATATTTTTTCAGAAAACTCTACTTACGAAGCGAATTCAGATACATTAAAAAAACTAATTCCATGCAACAAATTCTTTGTAAGTAAATCGCTGTATGAATAAATAATTTTATATTAAAATTGTTTTAAGTATACATAAAGAAATTATAATTACGTTACAATAAACTCTAAATCAGTACTATGTATAATAATATTAAGGTTTATTTTATGCGCAATGGAAATAGTCAAGATATAAAATAACGAAGAAAATGATTTATTCCGAGTATAGTTTTGGATTCACTTTAAATAAAATACGTTTTTTTAATCGCAGCGTATGTTGGTAATATTCTGTTCGGCTCACTGCATATCATTGTTGGTGACGCTGTATTACACACTTGGAGTAGTACTATTTGGCGTGCTTCGAGATAGAACGCCATTGGAAATTATTATGTTTCCTCTAGAGTTCACAACTACGGGTGGCTTGGAGAATGTAAGTTCAGATCTTTGTTACAATATTCAAAAGAAAATGTTACCATTTGTCGTCATATACATTGATAAAATGTGAACTTTGATAAAATGATAGGCACTAAGTACTACGTTGTTTGATTAAATGTAGGCTATACTAGCTAATTAAGTAAAAGAATATTGTCGGAAACATCAACGCTGGCATATTGTTTCACTCCATTGCTGTATCGTTTATAACACCACCATTATTACCACCACCAGCAAGCAAGGCATCCTATGTACAGAGCGTATTAAGGTATAGTCCACCAAGCCACCCTGTTGCGGATTATATACTTACTTTAAACATTCACGTACTTGTTTTACTATTCAGGAATTCTAACACGAGGACAGTACTTATAATTATTTTAATCTTAGTAAATGTGAATCGTATAATCGTAGCTTTTTACCGGCACCAAGGTATATAATCAAGTGCTTGATTACATGAAATACCAGCTAGTGCATCTTGGTACGCATTACATATGATGGAGTAAATAGATTATTTATTTTGCATTTAGTAGCGTCTGTCACAATCGATCTTAAATTTTCTTCGTTGGCTTGCTAATTTTTAACTTAAGTTTTTAATTTAATATATTATAAAGTGTTATTATCAATATCACTTATATCCGTGTTCATTTGCATCATGATAACTTATGTATGGAATATAGAATAGTAATGAATGTTGAACAAATGGCTACATGTCCCGCTTTTCAATTACTATATTTCATGTAGCAGTGGTGGACGTAAATTACGTTAAGCTGAAGCGAAAATGAATTTTCAGCCTGAAATAAGTTAACATTTTCGTTGCATATCTTTGAAAAAGGAATCGCTTCCGCGTAAACGATTTTGGCACACATTGTTTTAAGTACATTATTTATTGAATATTAATTTATTCACTTATTCATGTGTTATACATACTTACTTTACCGAATGCGTGTGTGCGTCTGTATATGCGTTTGCTTTAGTTTAAATTCCTTGTACACGCATAATGAAATTACAATTAAAACTTTTCAGGTGATTGGATATGTACGGATTCTCTACGGCTTTTATGTTGAAGGGGCAATGTTTCTCGTTGCGTGCGCTTTAGCGAACATACGCAGGTTGAGCAGCAGCCCAGTGGCGTGCATGTCAGAGAACTATAGACTCTTCCACAGCGCTGACTGCATTGAGTGCAATGAGAACCTACATCGGCGGTAAAATGAATTGGTACAAAAACGAGAAAGTCATCGCATCTGGTATTATTGTTGCGAAATCCAATTACTTTTATAGAAATATAGGCCCTTAATCGTCGTAAAAAATAACTGTTGATTAAGTTCGATATGGAACAATTAATTTCAATATACGCTATTTTAGATACATAGACCACTGTACATATAATTAACACAATTCAATCAAAGATTAGATGTTTTCAGTTGATGATACTCGTATTTAGATTTAGACACAGTTGCATTAACACGTCCTGTACAACATATATATAGAATAACAGGCGCAGCAGAAAACAGAAATTTTTATGACTGTTTATGTCTACAATATATAATATTATAAACGTATTACTGTTGTTTTGAATTTAAATTTTGTTTTAAATTTACATCTTATTGAATTCGCAATAACAGGAACTTAACAGATGATAAGCTAAATGAATGCCTTTGTTAAGGAAGGCTCGTGATTATTGATGCTTGAAGTATTTTGAAGGCTGGCAGCCTAATAGCAGCAGTTAAATCAACGGTTCTTTATATAATATTTGTAGGCTATAATTTCCATTTAATTTAAGATCTCTATCGAGATATTGGATTCGTCTATTTTATTAATAGTTGAACCATTCAAAAATCAAAAATTCTTAAAGGTCAGCTTCTTTGTAATCTTGACAACAATATTATAAAAGTTAAAGATCGGATGTAATACAGGGAGGCTTTTCTAAGTGTAACCATTTTTTTTAACTAAATTCTAGACAAAAGTTTTATATATAAATGATAAATATTTAAAAGCAGTCGTAATTAATTAATTACATTCATTTTAATTTATCTCAAAAAGTGCGTGATTTATGGGCAACTCATTTATTTTACGCGCAATCATTCATAACTAACACGCACACAAGTTCGTTCAAAAGTATACAACGCATTTATGAATGACTACCTCATAATTAAGTTAAAATAGATGAGAGCGAACCCAATCATTAACAAAACCTGTATATGAAATATCTCATGCAGCGATAAGATAATGAAAACAACTGCAGTGAATTCGAAATTCAGCTAAATGCAATCTAAACGATAATTGCGCCTTTGTTTCTAGAGCATTGTCGACGGTCGGCGCTATAACCACATTGGAATGCTGAATATGCTAATAAGTGTTTACTGTATTTCACACGTATTGTTTAAGACAGAAATTGTACTTCGAAAATAACGATAACTACCAACTAAAATACGTGGCTACTAAATAAGTAAATAAAATGCCAAAGTAAACTACGAGAAAAAAAATCAATTTGTAGCAGCCAACTTACGTTATATCTTACTGGTTTTGAATTTTAACTGTCGTAAGGCAACACAACAGTTTCCAATGTTGCACGAATGGGCAGATCCGTCTGGGTAAGTACCACGACCTCACAGAAGATTTGCGTAAAGTAGAAGTGTTACACTTCTGCGTTTCGTCTGGTGAGTGAGGTAGCCGGGACCCACACTTATTTAAAGATGGCAACGCATTTGCATCCGTACGGGTATTGCAAATGTACATGGGGTGTCTTTACTTAACATCAGGTGAACCGCCAGCTCGCTTGCAACTTTTTCACATAAAAAAAATAGTTTCGTTATTCTTACTAGCTTCGTACGGTAACGTTAAATTTTCTGTCTTATTTCAAAAATGATAAATGTTTGTGTATTAAAAATATTTAATATCCCACAGTTGTTTCTAATGGTGATTGTAAAAGTTGGCCGTAATTAGAATACTTTTTTATCGCGATTAATGTAAAACCAACAGTAAGTGTATAAATGGCTTAGCATGCTGATGCCTCTGATTTTATCATCTTCCGACCTTCATGTTTCTACAACACGTTACTTACTTTATTCACTGGGAGGGGACCTCGGCTTGGGCTGTCACTCAACACGCGTTTAGCATGCCGATTCGAGGGTGCTGGAGAGGGCCGGACCTCGGCTCGATCGGTAGCTATTATCTGACTGGGGGAATTTCTAGAGCTAACATTACTACCACTTCAGAGAGCGTTGGCGCTGGCAGAAGAAGTGGCGGAAGAAACTCCAGCAACGCTTCTATCATTAATGGGGGAAAACCTGACAGGTACGTGGCGGAACCTAGTATATGTTTGCCGCACTCGCCGGCGAGTGCGGTGTGTATTGGTATGTTTACGTAGTTTTTTAATCCTTTCGATGGCGATAGTCGTCTCATCGTCAGGGAAGTCGAGAACGCGTCGCGGTCTTCGGTAATCGCGGCGGAAAGTATCTAGCGGCAAGGGCCTGTAGGTGACGGCACCTACGATTAGTGGGTTGGGATGCGCGGCGGCGGAATCGAAATATCGGTGCGATGCCGACTTCAGGAATTGCGCGATGGTGGGCAACTCTAGATCGACATGTAGGTCGATATTGCGCATGAACCAGGGTGCTCCCGTCCGCAAGAATCGATTCTGAATGACCTGAAGCCGGTGTATTTGCTTCGGAGCGAAGACGGGGCTCGCGTACGTCATGCGAACTACTGCCTTGTATAAGGTCACCTTGTTCCGAAGGGACATTTTTGACGGTTTATTGAGGAGCGGGTAGAGGCGACCGAGTACGAAGGCCGCCCGGTTCCTGACCTGGGTCATGTGCTGGGTGAATTTAAGCTGGGAGTCGAGGACGACGCCTAGATATTTGATTTTATTAACCCATGGTACTGGGCTGTCCATGAGTTTAACGGGGGGTGGATTGGGTTATTATTTTTATGTGCGAAAAGGACGGCTGCGCTTTTGGCGGGATTAATCTCGATCCTCCATTGCCGAAACCAGTCACCGATGGTGATGGCCGCAGCTTGAAGGCGTCGATGGATTAATTCGGGTGTTCTGCCTGTGGTAAAGAGACAGGTGTCATCGGCAAAAAGGGCAAGTTCTACATCTTTGGCACGCGGCATGTCATTGGTATAGAGAGTGAACAAGACTGGGCCCAACACCGACCCTTGTGGCACCCCGGCTCGAACGGGATGCGTAGTCGAACACACGCCCTCGACGCGATGGCGACAGGTCCGATTACTTAGGAAGTCTCGTATTATGCATACGAGACGGTCGAGCACTCCGAACCCGTATAACTTGTATACGAGCCCGTTGTGCCAGACTTTATCGAACGCTTTTGCCACGTCAAGGAAGAGTGCTCCAGTGTTGAGTCCACGTTTGCGTTTAGTTAGAATGTGCTCCGTGATGCGGTGCACTTGGTGGGTACATGAGTGTTTGGCTCTGAACCCAAACTGCTCTGGGATGGGGAGCCCTTTGGTGTCCATAAGGGATCTTAAGCGGGCTAGTATTAGTCTTTCAAAGATCTTCCCAAATGTTTTTAGAAGACTTATTGGACGATATGAGGTTGGAAGGGTGGCGGGTTTGGCGGGTTTGAGGAACCCTATGACTTCAGCTTCCTTCCATTCGGACGGGAAGAAGCCTTCGGTTATAGCCGCGTTGTAAATTATTACGATTGTAATTAGTTCGAGGTTGATCGGAAGCAGACTAGGTTAGCATTGAGACTCTAGGCTGTCAGCCAGGCATTCGGCCTTCTCTTCGTCCAGCATTGCTGGCGTACCTATCGGGCGGACTAGTGGCGGCATGGTTGATATCGCGTTACTTTTGAGGGATTTGGGAAGTTTCCAGAAAGCTAAGTGGGATGGTTTTACTGAAGTTAAGGTGGAGTCTCAACGTTCGTTTCGTGAGTCCGCTATGCGTGTTTTGACCTCACGCTGCAATTTACGTAGCAGTCTACGATTCGAGTCGGTGGGATATCTATCATGGGCTCGAGTGGCCGCGTTCTTGCGTCTCAGCAAGTCGCGCACATCATCTGGCAGGGCCCAGCGATGGTCTTTCATCGCCGGGACCTGTCTCGAGCATTGCTCGACGACGGTGTTGACGTGGCTTGTGAGAGCTCGAATTGCGGTCTCCGTGTCCTGTTTGCTATTCAATTGGTTAGGGATTGACTCTAGTAGTGGAGGATTGGGTTCGTTAATTTTGGATTTTATTTTAAGCCAGCTGATGACAGTTTTGGTTTGGGGAGCGGCTATTGCTGAAGGCCCTAGTCGGAGAAAAACTGGTCGATGATCGGAGTGAAGCTCGTGTATCACTTCCGGTTCGCATATGGAGAGACTAATGTTTTTGACGACTGCAATGTCAAGCACATCCGATGAGTGTCCCTCTATGTAGGAAAAGCGCGTATGTTCGACGGGGGCTACGACTTCAAAGTCGAGCCTGTCGGATAGCGAGTCAAGTGCGGTGCCTCGACTGTTGTTACGTGTCGAGTTCCATCGGGTTTGACGGAACCCTTCGTGCACGGGTCCGTACTTGACTTGGACTTGGACTCGCAATTGGCCGGTTTTTAATATACAAATTTCGAAAGTTTTAATTATTTCGAAAACTTAGAACATCATGCTTAATATAGGGTGAGGGCCTAACAATTTACAATTCATTCTATTGATAACATTAATAACCGAATGCAATACAAAAATTAATATATTTTTTTATACGAATACTGTTAATAACGTTTGTAAGTACAAACATTATGCTCTTAATTTACTTTTCCAGGATTTTTCCGGGTATCGTATATAAAATCTTTTCCTTGACCTCTATTTCAGACGCAAATAAATTGAAAGGCTCTGCTTTATATTATAACTTTTGTGCCTCTTTCATCACGGTATAAAAATACGTATTACCTTATTTCGTAACATTATTACGTTCACATTTTATGTCAATAAAAATGAAAGCTCTACTTGGTGTGTTATTTTGATAGAGAGTGGTTATAAATTTTGAATTAAGATTTGTATCAGTAGTATAAACTTTATCCCGTATTGTGAATAGAAGTAGATTGGCTTAATGAGTCGCCCTCAAAGACAATAGGCCTCATTTGCAGGAACATTTAATTCATCCGTCTGTCTTAATGGTTGCTTCCTCGGGTTGAAAATCAAATTCATTTCAGCAGAGAGACACTCAATGTGTATAGTAAGATAACTAAAGTACACTGTATTTG